TACATTAGATTTAATGATAATCTAAGAGCCTAGGAGCTTGGTAAACCCAACCGAGCCTCTAAGTATTAACTGTACTTAGATACAGGTATGTTGGGGCATTAAAGATGCAAAACTCAAATGACTGAGAGACAACCACCTCACCTCAATTACTCTCTGGCACAAACATTCTTACTTGCACCATTAATTGCTTTGGTTGGTCCTTATCTCTCCTTCTACCAGAATCTCTCTCTGGATTCCTCAAGTTGTATTGTGGTATTCCCTTTTATAATTACTCATTTTACTTTGCCAAGAACACACTACTTACATCCTTTCTACCATGTCAAGTTGAGATTTTTCACTAAATTTTTTGGCAAGAGATTTATTATCCACTTTTTTAAAGGTAATGTGGGTTCAACTTCTAGTAAAGGCATGTCTGTTGAAGGTTGGACTTCCAATACTTATGCTAATAGAGTCAATTATCCCTTGTTCTACATGCGCATGAGCATTTGCACATTCCTTTATCCGAGGAGTAAACAAACCCAAGTAATAGTTTGCCTCTCATTACTAAGGAATACAGTTTATTCATGTCATCACTACCTTTCAACTTCTCAATAGTTGGGTGGATTAATATCTTTCGTCAATTAAGAAGTGTTAAATTTTGAATATTTGTATCTACTAATCTAACATCTAGCATTACTTGCCTTAAAAAAAAAAAAAAAAAATCCTGCCAAATTGAGCGTTGGATTGCATGTAAGAGTAAAGTGAAAAATAAAAAAATAAAAATATATTAAAAAAAATCTTTTTGAAGACTGGCTTGTCAGTTTCTTGTATCCAGTCTATGTATAAATGAATTTCTTATGTAAAGTTGCATTGCAGTTGGACCTTCTGCAAACAAATAATTTATAGCCTACCCTTGATGCTCGAGCCTTAATAAAGGGTGCTCGAGCCTTAACCCTGAAGCTCGAGCATAAAGCGTGGCTATTACAAAATATCTTTTACGAAAAGACATTTTATTTGCCATCCACTGACTATCTCTTATGTAAGGCTATTACAAAATATCTTTTACGAAAAGACATTTTATTTGTCATCCAGTGACTATCTCTTATGTAAAGTTGCATTCCAGTTGGACCTTGTGCAAACATGTAACGACCCACTCCATCACATGGTATGATATTGTCCGTTTTAGATCTGAGCCCACACGGTTTTATTCTTCACTTCACCTTTTCTCTACATATAAACATTTCACGCTCGCCTGACAGTGTCTCTCGCACCCGCCCACAGGGTCATCACAATGCACACTTCCGGCTGGGTCAGGCTCTGATACCATTTGTAATGACCCACTCCACCACATGATATGATATTATCCTCTTTGAGCCTGAGCCCGCACGGTTTTGCTCTTGGGCTTCACCCCAAAAGGCCTCATACCAATTAGAGATGACACACTTACATATAAGCACTTCACCTTTCCTCTACCCAGGCGATGTGGGACTGTGCACCCGTAGCTCGCCAATGTGGTAGCTTGTCAGTGTCTCTCGCACCCGCCCACGGCACACCCGCCCACAAGGTCATCATAAACCACCCCCCTTGGAGGCCTGCCGTCCGGATCGAAACCTGGCTCTGATACCATTTGTAACGACCCACTCCACCACATGGTATGATATTGTCCGCTTTGGGCCTGAGCCCTCACGGTTTTGCTCTTGAGCTTTACCCCAAAAGGCCTCATACGGTGCCATGCCGATACTAGCCTGATAACTTTATTATAAGCAAACTCAACCAGTGGAATGTGATCCTCCCAACTGCCCCGAAAATCTAGCGCACAAGCACGAAGCATATCCTCCAACACTTGAATGACCCTCTCGGACTGGCCATCGGTCTGAGGATGAAAAGCAGCGCTCAAACTCAAAGGAGTACCAAAAGCTGCTTGGAAACTACTCCAAAATCGAGATGTAAAACGAGGATCACGATCTGAGACAATAGACACTGGTACTCCATGAAGCTTAACTATGTCTCTGATGTAGATCTTACACAATTCCTTTACAGTATCAATAGCTCGAATGGGTAGCAAATGAGTTGATTTAGTCAATCGGTCCACTATCACCCATACTGTATCATGGTTATGTATCGACCTCGGTAACCTCACAACAAAATCCATCGTCACATGTTTCCATTTCTACTCAGGCACAGGCAAAGGCTGTAATAGTCCTGCTGGTCTCTGGTGCTCAGCCTTCACTCGCTAACAAGTGAGACATCTAGATACAAACTCTGCCACATCACGTTTCATACCTTCCCACTAGAACTGCCTCTTAAGATCATGATACATCTTAGTGCCACCTGGGTGCACTGTGTACCAAGAGTGGTGTGCCTCATCTCAAATATCTCTACAGTCAAAAGGAGTTGAATATGAGGCCTTTTGGGGTGAAATTCAAGAGTAAAACCGTGCGGGGTCAGGCCCAAAGCGGACAATATTATACCATGTGGTGGAGCGGGTTGTTATAAATGGTATCAGAGCCTGACCCAGCCGGAAGTGTGTCGACGGGGACGTCGGGCCTCCAAGGGTGGTGGATTGTGATGAACTTATGGGCGGGTGTGCCGTGGGCGGGTGTGAGAGATACTGACAGGCTACCACATTGGCGAGTTACGGGTGTACAGTCCCACATCGCCTGGGTAGAGGAAAGGTGAAGTACTTATATGTAAGTGTGTCATCTCCAATTGGTACGAGGCATTTTGAGGTGAAACTTAAGAGCAAAACCGTGCGGGTTCAAGTCCAAAACGGACAATATCATATCACGTGATAGAGTGGGTCGTTACCAAACAAATAATTTATAGCCTACTCCTATTGGCTATTACTATTTTATTATCCGTTGACTATCAACGATCAAGCCCTCAATTTGAACTCCTATTGGCTATTACTATTTTATTATCCGTTGACTATCAACGATCAAGTCCTCAATTTGAATGAGTCTCCAAATTACTATAGAGCACGAAAAGACATTTTGCTTGCCATCTAGTCTTTTGTTTGTTCAACTTTGTTCTTACTTGTCATATAAAAATGTAAGTAAGTCATGTCAAAGAGAGAAAGTCAGAAGAAGAAAGAAAAAAACAAAGACAAAAAACAAAAGATATGTTACACGTTGTTAGACTTTTAGACTTAATTTTTATTTTTATATTTTTATTCAATTAAATTTAAAATCCAAATTGAGCCCCATAGTATTTTAAAACTATATTTACATAAATGAGTTTCTTCTAATCATAATCTAACATAGTTGAAGACGGTACATCTCTTTATTTTATAAATTCTACAATAACTTGGATATTTTTAGTACCCTTCTTAATCAAAGTTCTTTATTTATTTATTTTTTTAATAAATAAAGAACTGAGAAATTTCAAGATAAATAAGAAACTTTAATTGAAAAGGGTACTAATGAGCTGTTTTATATCTTTTACGAAAAGACATTTTATTTGCCATCCAGTGACCATCTGGTGACTATCAACGATCAAGTCCTCAATTTGAATGAGTCTCCAAATTACTAAAGAGCACGAAAAGACATTTTAATTTTACTTGCCATCCAGTGACTATCAACGATGAAGTACTCAATTTGAATGAGTCCCCAACGTATTAAAGAGGCCGCTTTGTTTTTTTTTTTGGTTTTTTGTCTTTGTTTTTTTCTTTCTTCTTCTGACTTTCTCTCTTTGACTTGACTTACATTTTTATATGACAAGTAAGAACAAAGTTGAACAAACAAAAGATATATTCTCTGTTTTTTATTACTTACCCTAAAAAAACAAAAAACAAAACAACAAAAGATATGTTACACGTTGTTAGACTTTTAGACTTAATTTTTATTTTTATATTTTTATTCAATTAAATTTAAAATCCAAATTGAGCCCCATAGTATTTTAAAACTATATATACATAGATGAGTTTCTTCTAATCATAATCTAACATAGCTGAAGACGGTACGTCTCCTTATTCTATAAATTCTACAATTACTTGGAAATTTTCAGTACCCTTCTTAATCAAAGTTCTTTATTTATTTATTTTTTTAATAAATAAAGAACTGAAAAATTTCAAGATAAATAAGAAACTTTAATTGAAAAGGGTACTAATGAGCTGTTTTATATCTTTTACGAAAAGACATTTTATTTGCAATCCAGTGACCATCTGGTGACTATCAACGATCAAGTCGTCAATTTGAATGAGTCTCCAAATTACTAAAGAGCACGAAAAGACATTTTACTTGCCATCCAGTGACTATCAACGATGAAGTACTCAATTTGAATGAGTCACCAACGTATTAAAGAGGCCGCTTTGTTTTTTTGTCTTTGTTTTTTTCTTTCTTCTTCTGACTTTCTCTCTTTGACTTGACTTACATTTTTATATGACAAGTAAGAACAAAGTTGAACAAACAAAAGATATATTCTCTGTTTTTTATTACATACCCTAAAAAAACAAAAAACAAAACAACAAAAGATATGTTACACGTTGTTAGACTTTTAGACTTAATTTTTATTTTTATATTTTTATTCAATTAAATTTAAAATCCAAATTGAGCCCCATAGTATTTTAAAACTATATTTACATAGATGAGTTTCTTCTAATCATAATCTAACATAACTGAAGACGGTACGTCTCCTTATTCTATAAATTCTACAATTACTTGGAAATTTTCAGTACCCTTCTTAATCAAAGTTCTTTATTTATTTATTTTTTTAATAAATAAATAACCGAAAAATTTCAAGATAAATAAGAAACTTTAATTGAAAAGGGTACTAATGAGCTGTTTTATAAAATTGAATATTAAGTATTAAAAAATTATAAGAACTGAATTTTAACTGATGAGGTTGTTAACTAGTAATTAAAAATAATTTTTTTAATATCTCTTTCAATTTTCAGCCATTTAATAATAAGTAAAGTTCCTATCACTTAAAATTTTGTCCTATTTTAAATAACGATAACATTCAAATTACATTATTACTTAATTAAATAAGTTTTTAATTGAATTATCAGACACCACTGTCCACAGATGGTCACTGATCTTATCTTAGGTTGTGTGTGTATATATATATATTATGACATCTACCTTAAAGAATCACCATTATTTTATATATACATACAACTTAAGCCACTATGTATACTCCGTTATTATTCATCGTCCTTTCTTTTCTCCTATCTTCACCATTTTCATCTTCAACACTTCTCAGAATAACCAAAGGCTCATTCCTCTCCGTGGAGAAACCAAGCAACATTTTAATTTCAGAGAAAAGTGTGTTCTCGTCGGGTTTTCATGCTGTGGGCAATAACACATATTGCTTCGCAATATGGTACACTCAATCATTGGATGATGGGAGTTACACGGTGGTTTGGATGGCCAATCGAGACCGACCAGTTAATGGAAGACGCTCAAAGCTCTCCCTGCTAAAAACTGGTAATATCATCTTGACAGATGCTGATGGTCTCACTGTTTGGGCCACCGAAACCACCTCAACTTCTTCGGTGCAGTTGGAACTTTATGACACTGGTAATCTTGTTCTCCATACTTTGGAGGGTAAAATTCTTTGGCAAAGCTTTGATTTGCCAACGGATACTCTTCTTCCTCAACAACCACTCACCAGAAGCACAATACTTGTTTCATCAAGAAGCCAAAGCAATTACTCTTCCGGTTTCTACAAGCTCTATTTCGACGATGATAATGTGCTCAACCTTCTCTTTGATGGCCTTGCGACCTCCAGCGTTTATTGGCTTGACCCGTGTTTGCGACCATGGCAAGCTGGAAGGACCAACTACAACAACAGTAGAATTGCAGTACTTGATCCCGCTGGCCATTTCAAGTCATCTGATGATTTGAAGTTCTCGGCTGCCGATTTGGGCATAGGGCCTAAGAGAAGATTGACGGTTGACGTTGATGGCAATGTTAGATTGTATAGTCTGAATGAGAAGTTGAGATCTTGGGTTGTTTCATGGCAAGCCATTTCCAATCCATGCAGCATTCACGGCATTTGTGGGCCCAACAGTCTGTGTACTTATGCTGCTGAAAGCGGTCGGAGATGCAATTGCTTACCGGGACATAAGATGAAAAATCACACAGATTGGTCTTATGGTTGTGAACCAGATTTCACTCCCTCTTGCAACAATGACCATGAAGTTGCTTTCATCAAACTTCCTCATGTTAAGTTCTATGGGTATGAACTTGGCTACTTCGAAAATCAAACCCTAGAGTGGTGTGAAGAGGAGTGTTTGAAGCATTGCGATTGCAAAGGGTTTCAATTCAGTTATGAGTCTGATAACGGTTACTATCTTTGTGCCACCAAGGCTCTGTTGTTTAATGGGTATCGCTCGGTGGGATTTAATGATCCCATGTACATAAAATTGCCCAACTCTAAGCTCTCCTCCTATGATAAGCCGAATCAAGAATTCCGGTTAGATTGCTCACACCAAGTTACAGCACTCCTTCAAAGAACATACAAGAAGAAGCAAGAAAATGGCGCGGTGAAGTTCATGCTTTGGTTCGCCTGTGGGTGTGGAGGAGTTGAGATCATCGGTTTCTTGTTCATACTGCTGTATGTCATGTATAGAAACCGGGAAGGCTCTCGTGTAAGTGACAACGGTTACCGGCATGTAGATATTGGATTCAGAAAATTCACATATGCCGAGCTTAAGAAGGCGACGCTTAATTTCAGCGAAGAGATTGGCAGAGGAAGCAGTGGCGTTGTATACAAAGGTATATTGTCTGACAATAGAGTTGCAGCAATCAAGCGCCTCGCGGAAACTGATCAGGGCGAAGAGGAATTCTTAGCAGAAGTAAGCACCATCGGGAGGCTTAATCACATGCACCTGACAGAGACATGGGGTTATTGTGTGGAGGGAAAGCACAGACTTTTGGTGTATGAGTACATGGAGCATGGTTCTTTAGCAGAAAACATAACCTCCAACACACTTGATTGGCAGAAGAGGTTCGAAATTGCTTTGGGTACTGCAAAAGGTCTAGCTTATTTACATGAAGAGTGTTTGGAGTGGGTTTTACACTGTGATGTAAAGCCTCATAACATACTCTTGGACTCCAATTACCAACCAAAAGTGGCAGATTTTGGGCTGTCTAAACTCTTCAACAGAGGTGGGATTGGTAATTCTAGCTTCTCTAGGATGAGAGGAACAAGGGGTTACATGGCTCCGGAATGGGTTTTTAATCTTCCCATCACATCCAAAGTTGATGTGTATAGCTATGGTGTTGTCATGTTGGAGATGATAACCGGAAGAAGCCCGACCGGTGCTGTCCACACCATGGATGATGATGGAGGGATGGAGCGGAGAAGGTTGGTGACATGGGTGAGAGAGAAGATGCATGCAACAACTGGAAATGGATCATGGATTGACGAAATCATAGACACCGCCATGGATGGTGAATATGACAAAAATAAGATGGAGCTTCTGGTTAGAGTGGCTTTGCAATGTGCAGAGGAAGATAAAGATACAAGACCCACCATGACTAAGGTAATTGAAAAGCTTTTGGGTCATAAAAATGATGACTTTAAAAAGTCCTTTGGTCATGAAAATAATCAGTTTTAAAAGTCAGTCATTTTTTAAAAATAAAAATAAAAAAGTCTGTCCTTGTTTACCTATCATATGACAGTTTGAAATTTGAGTGTGATAATAATGACTTTTGGGTCATGAAAGAAATGCTACCGTTATGTCTTACTTATTTGTTATTCAGTGTGCTTTAACTTTTGCTGCATCTGTAGTTTGTACATTGTGTTATTTCTACTAAATAATTTTTTTTAAAAAAGTTAGTGGTGTAAACTATTTTGTCGAGAGAGACATTTTTTTCATTAGACATTACACTAATCATCTGTTGATCTTATACATTTTTTTTTTTTAATATATTATTGTCCAAAATGTATCACTAGCAGTAATACAAAGTAATAGAAATTCAATCTAACATATATATATATATATATATAGTAAAGTGACTGCACTCACATTTTAGAATTATTATTTAAGTTTTTTCTAATATCTCAAGTAAAGTATAAAAAACATACCTTGATAATAAAAAATATTGTAAGAATGTCTTTATGTTTATATGTATTTGTATCCAGATATCATGTAAAAATGGTTGCTACTCAAATGAACCACACAATACATTCATGTGATTAGGACGAAAACAAAAAACTAGTTAAGAGAAACATTTTACTCCCCATGTTATAATGTGAGCATCATCTGTATATAGATTCAATCAAACATCGTTACTAGTTAAAGTTTTTTTTATTTTTTTTTATTTTTATTTTTATTTTTATTTTTATTTTTTTTTCCTTCCTGTTAAACTAGGGGGAGAAAAAAATCGAACTTAAACACATATGTTCAGGGAATTGGACACTCTAAGACTAATTACATTCCCCTAAAACTCCATATGTGAATAAAGTGATAAAATAAATAGTAATAAATCATATAAAATTAATAAATTTATGGTAAAATCCTTCAAAAATATATTTATTACAATAATTATTATTATTATTTTTTATTTTTTATTTTTGGAGGGATCAAATATTCAAATGGTATTTGTTGGAGGCGATTCAAGATTAGAAGCATGACTATTGCTTTCTAATTATCTGTTTTTGCATTAATTGCTGCTTCTTCAATCTTATTGATTGGCGTACCTTGTATTTGCTTCTCCTGATGGTCGGTAATGACCTACGTGCATTGTACTTGAGCTAAATGATATTGGAATTGTCTCTGTGATCTTGTCAAACATTACAGTAGTGATTGTCAGTATTGCGTACTTTACATGTATTGATTTTATTTATTTTGCTGGCATTATATATCATAGGGTAAAGTGCATTAAACCCCCCCCCCCCCCCCCCCTCAACTATGGGGGGGGGGGGGGGGGGGGGGTTTGCAACTAACCCCCCTAAATTAAAAAAAACTCTTGAACTTTCACTTTTTTGCAATTTGCCCACTCAGGCCACCGGAAAAGATAAAAGACAATTTTAACCTTATTCAAAACTACATCGTTTTTATCTCCCTCTCTCTATTTCTGTGTGTGTGTATATATTATAAATATATGTATATATATATATCTCTGTGCGGCACAGAGAGGAGAGGGAGCACATCGATCTTGCCGGCCATTTATGGCGCCACCTCGTTCATGTCGTCGTTGACCGGTGACACCGACGGCAAGCAGCCGTCGTCCTCGCCGACATTCCAGATCACCAACATGTCCCACGTGTCCCGCCAAGAATAGAAGAAAAGGTTGCAGAGACCCGAGCGGCGGAGATAGACCATCACGGCCGAGTCCTCACTAGACGACCTCTTCATAGCTGACCTCTTCACTGCGGCAGACGACGAGAGTAGATCTGACATCCTAGTGTTGTCGACGGCGCAGACGGTGATGGTCTCCCGTAACTCCTTGTGCCACACCTAGCGCGTCCTCACCGCCTCACCAGTAACTCCTTGTGCCGCTGTCCTCTGTCCTCGTCGGCGCCGTTTCTGGGTTTGACGGCAGCAAAAAACCATACCAGTTGCAGAGTTCGTGATTTGGGGATTTTTTTATTTTTATTTTTTATTTTTAGTTAAATATGATTTGGGGAAATTTGGTAAAGTCATGATCAATTTCATTTTTCCGGCTAGGGTGGATTGGTTGGGCAGAATGGTGACTGTGGAGGTTTTGGGTGGAGAGCGGTGATGGTTTTGGTTGAAGGTGGTGGTGGTGGACCAATGGTTATGGGTTTGATGTGTTATTTGGTTACGGATTTGGAATGGGGTGATGGGTGGTGGTGGTTATGGGTTTGCAGAGATGGGTGGCAGTGGTGTTGAGGCGACAATTTGCTCACCAGCAGCTGGGTCTCCTCGTCCGCCTCTCCGTCTTCGACGTCTCCAATAATAGACTCTCCGACCTGATTTCGGCTTCGTTGGGGAATTGGAGTGGGAATTTGCCATTCGATAATGGTGACAAAGGGGCATTATAGTCCTTTCATGTGAACAAGGGCACTCTGGCCCTTTAATTTTACAATTCCCATCATGTGATAACATGTGCTGTTTTTGCCGGTCATAATCTACTGGAGTGGGGTGATTTGTAACCAAACACTATAGTTTCGGGGGTTTTTTGCTCATTTAAAAATTCAGGGGGGTTTTGTGCTTATTTGGGTATAGTTGAGGGGGGTTTAATGCACTTTACCCTATATCATATAATATATATATTACATTCTATTTATGTTACGTGAATAGAATAATACATAAAAAGGTAAATTATATTGACTTCCTAATCCAAGTTTAATACCAAAGTGTTTAGGAAAGTGAAAGTCATAAAGTCTAATCGGTTTATCTACGTGATATTTTGTCCAAATCTCAAAACAAAAAGGAGGACAACATAATTTACCTATAATGATGTTTGCACCTTAAAAATAAATTTTAATTCGGCCACATGGCATTGAATAATTTGATAAGAGTTCTTACTTCAATTAATTAAAATTCATTAATTGTTGGATGACTTCTGGGCTGTAATAATAAATGATCATTTATCGTTGATGCAATACTTGGGACTCTTATTCAAATTGGAGTCTATAGTCAATAATTGTAGCTACCGTTAGTTTTATTCCAAAAAAATACGTTCATTTGGATAAGCGGTGAAATGAGTGTATGTGGATAAGCTTAAGACAAAATAAAGTGTATTTGGATAAGGAATTTTTGTTTATTCAAATATAATATTTGAACTTCTTTTAGTAACTGCTTGGAGCCTCAACTATAAATAGAAGAAGAAGACCTTGGGCAAAAGGTCCCCGACCACAACAACTTTCCTGTTTCTGCAATTTCAGACTTTTGCAATTTCTATTTTTCTGCAATTTCAGACTTTTGCAATTTCTATTTTTCTGCAATTTCATACTTAGTCTTTTACTTACATTTTACTTCTATTCATAGGAGTAGCCTAGTGTTAGATTTAGAATAAATCACTTCTTATACTCTGTATGAGAATTTTACTTATAAAATAAAAGTCAACGCTTGGCTTCAGTTCCCTCTACTTTTATTTTCTAAGTCTCTTGAAATTGATGAATGCTCGTGTAACTTATTTTACTCTATTCATCCATTCCACTTATAGTGTTGAAAGTCCTCTTTATTGAGGCGTTGAAGAACCTGAAGGAAGGGGTCATCCTTGCCTTCCAACAGTCGCCTGATTCACAAAAGGGCCGATTACGAATTCGGTCAGCACCAATGATAATTTGATTATCTAACCCCTTGGGTCGAAAGACTCTGGCACGTCCCTAAAAAAAAGAGCCAAACAAATAAAAACACACAAATACACAAATTCCCCATAATATACTTATTTATATATACATATAGTATTTAAAAGTATGTTTCTTATTTCAAACAATGTATGCAAAAATGAGAAAGAGGGGTGATGAGCTTCGCCTACGTGTACTACCCCCAACCCAACACATTTCAAATTGAGAGTTGAAATGTTTATCCTTACTCCTATATTTTGTAGCTATGAAGCCAAATTTGGCTCATTTAATAAGAAAAATTATTTGTGAACATTTTCTTAATCTAGTAGTTAGGTTGCTCTCCGTTATATTTGAGAGTCTGATTTCGATTTTCCACACCTCTAACTTTTAATCTAACATTCTTACTTTAAAAAATAAGAAGAAGAAAAGTTATTCGGGCTTGATTTGAGTTCATGTTTAACATTATTATGCTTTGTTCATGACTTATACTAACCTACATGAGTCGTTCATGAACCTATATAAAACTATACTTATAAACATGTTTATAAGCTTATATGAGTCCTATAAGAGTTTATATTGATGAATATATACAAGCCTACACGAATTTATGTTTACGAGCATACACTAATTGAACCCAATACTATTTAGGATTAGATCGTTTACTAAACAAGATTAAAAATCGAACTCGACTCTTTTGATTAATGATCGAATTTGATCCAAACCTTAAACGAGACGAGCTCGAATTGTTCATAAACAACTCTGTTTATTTTCTATTTTCTTGAACAACTCTGATTTTTTTAAAAAAATTTTTTTCTAACTAACTGAACGACTTTAGTTCATTTGGAGCCCTAACTACAAGGATTTGAAACAAATTCTTAAATTTGCCGCCACAACTTCTAATTGAAATTATTTCTCCTTTTTTTTTAAAAAAAAATATATAAATAATAAAAATTCCCTTTCAATACTGTATGTCTTATGTTGTATTAGGTAGGAATTAAGTTGTGTGAAGAGAAAATAGTAAGGAATGAACAAATTTCATTTATTTGGTAAAGATGGAATAAGGAAAGAGCGGAGAATGGGAAAAATTAATCATCCTTCATCTTTTACAAATTTTCCTCAAATAAAAAATAGGCGGAAGAAACTAGGGAAGACAAGGGACTATTATAGAAGTTTTAAATTTAATATTATCATAAATTATACAAGTTTTAAATTACAGTACTATCCTCTATAAATCACAATATTTTAAAACTTTCTATTTACTTCTCTCTTAACGAAGATAGTAAATTCTTAACGAATATAGTAAATTATGAGCTTATTCTCTTCTCTTTTCTTCTATTCAACCAAAAAATATATATATATACATCATCTTCCCTAAGGGTTCGTCTGATTAGATAGAAATTTATGATAGAAAGTGAAAATGAAAAAAAAGTAAAGTGAAAGAAAGTGAAATTAAGTTTCTACCATACATTTGATTACCATGAAAGTTTTTCTAGAAAGTTATGAGAAAATATTATTTTTTTAATTTGGGTAAGATGAAAGTGAAAAGAAAGTGTAATACTTGTCAAAACTACCTTTATATTAGTTTGAATTTAAAAAATAAATATTGTGCAATAGATGATGAAAAAAAAAATTATAATAAAATAAGACAACCAATTTCTGGAAGTTGGATTATACATAGTTAGTGAGGAGAGACTCAGCTAACTATCCAATTAGATATTATTATTTTATTTTATTCGTTATTAATCACTATTTACATTTACCCATGGC